TTCAAAGATATGCTTGGTATGCATGTCTTATCTGTAAGTCTCAAAGTGCTTAAAGAAGTAGCTGGTGCTGTTCCCAACTGACCCATAAAGCACAGTAAATGAAAGCTATTTCTTTGACAGAGAAATGTAAGTAGCAAAGGTGTGGCACCTGGGAATTACCTCTGTGAGGCTGATTTTATTCCTCTCCTAAGGCGGCTGAGCTATATGTTTTAAAAGGCATTATTGTTATGATCCACTACAAAGGACAACTATTTAGTTAGCCTAGCTTGGCCACAGAGAAGTTGTGGGGCCCAAAGCAAGTAGCTTACATAAAATTATCCCATATGTAGAACAGAGCTGTGCTGTGCCACTCCAATGACTTACACACAATTTCATAGAAACCCTGTATGCAACATGCTTCATCTGTGCCCACCAGAGAGCTTGCACTCCTGGCAGCCACCCAAGGAAGACACAGACCCCCACAACAGTTACAAATGGCCAGAAGCCATCTCAGCTGGTAGCAGCGTAGTGGGTTTACAGGACACCCTTGATGTCAGCTGTTTGCTTGGGGGAGTCGGCTGAATTTGTCAAACTTCTGCAGAGCATCCGTAAGAAATAACTGAGGGTTAAAACTTGTTTCAGTATAGAGCCCATCCTGAAGAAATCAGGTTCTTTAGCAAAAACTACCTGAAAATGAAATCCACACTCAAGCACTGTTTTCCTATTTTTGTGCTTTCCTGTTTTGTGTTTTCCCAATACAGCCTTGAATTGATCACAGAAACAGCAATCCTGGATGCAGCCTCACGTTTGCAACCAAGCTGTTAGAACCTGCGCTTGTGATAATCTTCTGGTTTTGCACATGCAACGTCACTAAGGAAAGGAAGAAAGTGCGTTTTAAGCCCAAGTGTTTGTCTCATGGAGGCAGCCCTGCTTTAATGACAGGAGTCAGCGAGTGCTGTGCATGGGGCAGGCTCTGGAGATCCGACAGCAAGCCGGTCCTGGATGGCTCTTGCTAAAAGTCTTAACGAGACCCCATAGAAATTGTCCTCTGAGCTCAGTGGCCAGCAAACAGAGAAGGTCTCAAACCACTGCAGAGGTTTCCTGCACTGCACGAGGCAGCTAGCGGAAGGCTTTCCCATCCAGGTGACTGCAGGACTGGGCACTGACCACTCCCAGGTCCCCACAAGCATCATGGATGAACTTCAGTGTCCAGTCACTGTGGGAGAGTCCCTCAGAAAGGTCTGGTGTGGGGGAAACTACAAGATCTCAACTGTGTCCCATTTTTTCAGGAAGGTGTTCTTATTCTGCAATGAAGTAAAGTCAGATCCTGTTCAAAATGCATTCCCAGTATCCTTCTAATTAATGTGAAGGAACTGTAGCTTGGATTACCCTGTGAACACTTTTGGTGTCTAAAGGTATTTTTCTACATGGACTTACTATGGATGAAATATTAGTCATATTAAGAACACTATTACCTTGGTGCCCAGGTGATTCATGGTACAGGGAGTGACCAGAAGGTATAATTCAGCCCGAGTAGGATTTGGCTGACTGAGGTGCATCACTCTATAGGCTGTGGTTATAACAATATCTGCAGTGCAATATTCCAGTTTCAAGGCAAGGTGCAGGCCTCTCCAAAGGGAAACTGGAAACGGCAGATTGACATTATCAGGAAAAAAGGACCTATGGTTGTAAATGGGTTAATAAAGATAATAAGAATAGTCACAAAATTTATGGTAGCTCATGGAGAAAATGTTTCTCAATTGCTCAGAGTGACTTGTTAGATGTAAGATAGCACACAAGAGAACAGGTCATAAAATAATCTTAGCAAAGCTTTTAAAAACAAAAAACTGGGGACTTCTTGTTTGTAAGCAGCGTAAATATTAGAGAATGAAAATGTGCTTGCTGCAAAAGTGATGAACATGCATCACAGCTTCTCAGCCCATGTCAATTCAGTCATTCATATTGATCAGCTGACCAGGTCAGCAGACTAAAGGTGGATGAAATTGTGCTGCTGATCATTTGTTAGCTTTTCCTTCCACAAGAAAAGCATTCGTGTCTTGGCTGAAAAGGGCATATTTTTATTTTTAGCTCTAATGACGTAGAATTGTTTGTTTTATCAAAATCCTACTGCTTACTTGATTACTTCAAGTAGCAATGAAGAGTCATTAGGAATATTTTCAGATGCAGAAAGTGAACTGCAGTCTGATGGTTTAAACATCTTTTAAACGTGAAGATAATATATCTTCATTTTCAACAGATGATGCTGGTGTTGTCCTGCTCCCTGAGGAGTGACTATCCAGAGACAGTGCAAAGGAGAAAGCATTTGCTTTCATGAAAACACCCAGTCCATCCACTGCAAATTACAATGCACATTGTGGGTAAGTCATCACTTCAAATCACAGACTCCTTGACAAAAATTTGCAATAATTTTTCCCTCTTTGCCACAGGAGGATCAGAATTACACTAGATACGTCATTTTGTCTCCTTTGAATACATATCTACCTCTTTGCTATTCTAGATATCACAAATTACCCTTGTATTGACTGTGACAATTGCCTGTAGTTTTAGCAACTTACTTAAGGATGACAAAGATGGACAAGATGCAGGAACACCTGCGATTACTGAACATTACTCATCTTTCTTTCACAGCCTGATAATGTGTCCTGTAGTATCACCTCGTAAATGTGACAATAGGCATTTGTCCACAGGTGAGTTATAACAAAAACTGATGACAAATCCTTCAGTCTTAAATGCCTGCCTGAAACATGGCTGAGCATTCAAAAAGCAGGGACGAGGATTTTATTCTTCAACAAACACTGGCTCTCTAATACCTGACAGTGCCTGACGTCACACTGGATTTCAGCTACAAAATTGCTTTAACTCGACTGTTTTCTCTGAGGAAAAAAGAAAAAAAAGGCTGAGTTTTTAGAAAACTGTAACCATTCTTGAAGGATTGAAACTTGGCAAGAGACTGGATATAGACAGCTGTGTGAGGGCTGGGCTACTGTCTACTGTCTCATGCATGAGTGTTTCTAAAGCCATCTTTTAAAAAACATTTAATATCCAAATCCATGTTCTTTCAATCTTTTGGAGTTATTGTGCCCGTTTCTACATCAGCTGTGGCAACAGAAAGAACATGTGTAAACAGACCTGGACAGCTTGCAGGTACCAGCATATTGCACTAAGGATGAGCTCCAAACCATATTTGGTTTAATGTAAATATTTGAAAACATCATGCATTAAAAATGATATATTGCAGTGTTCCAGAACTGGGAAACAGCATTTTAAATGTTTTATTTAGGTGAACAATAACTGAATTTGTGGCTAGTACAAATGTGGACTACAAGGGAAGATATATAATATTATGAGGAAATGGTGGTTTTCTAAAGTGTCCTTTACAAAAAATATTTCAGGTTGTCCCTTATTTCCAACCCCAAACAGCAGCTGAGGTGTTTTCACAGTTGGCTTTTGCTTTAAGTGATGTTCAAATTCAAAGGCCAAATTTGTAAAAACATTTCCTGCTCTAACAGGGACTTGCTGAACAGCCATGATGGACCTCTCACAGCCACAGGGATATTGGGCCATGTCCATAACACGAGGGAGCTGCTGGCAGGATGTTTCAGCAAGACAGAGTTGTACCAGATGGAAAATGAGAGGCAAAGCAGCCATACCACTGCTAATCTACCACCAGGCTAATAAGTTATCTCTGGTTAGAGATAAGGCACAGTGTCACATTAATCTGTTCAAATTGCTCTCATGACGGAGCTACTATCTCTTCACGGAGCTGCATCTCATTGCTGTGGATGTTCCAGCATGGGTCTCTGCAAGCTCAGCATCTCTTCATGCATGGCCTGTACAGTGTATAAATTCAATGTCAATTGTTAATTTATTTACTCCATTATTGATTTGTTAGTTCAGCAAAATGCTGCCGAGTTTGTAGTTCAGTATGGATGTCACATTTCACTGTGAAAGCTGCAATACAGTAGCATTATCTCTGTGAGTTAATAAGGTCTGTACTTGGATGCAGACTTCTGACAAAATCCACCATCGGAGCAAGGGATAGTTTACATCCTCTGTGCTCAACCATGTTTCACAGAAACAAGCTTCAATCTGCAAGAGGTGCAGCTGCTTCCAGATGTAAACATATCTGTGTCCTACCAAAATACGAGGTTGTAGCATGTGTTAGATCAAAGGAAGAGTGCTGCAAACATGGGTATATTGCTTCTGTGCTGATAGACAGAAAACTCTGCCCACATTCAGCTGGGTGGTCTCTCGGGGCACGGCAAGATGATGGTTCACGTCTACATTGCTCTCACAGCACATTGCAGACAGGCTCTGACAGGCCCCAGGCAGCGCACAGAGCTACGCACAGGGAGTGTACGTAAGGCACAATCAAATCAAAGCTTGATTTTTGTTCTCCCACTAAGGCTATACCTAGACCATACTATATTTTTAATGGTAAACCTTGTTGTTTGTTTTCCCCTGCAGCTATGTCCCAAAAGGGGGAGGGAAGGCAGTCCCACGTTCTTTATTGCCTTACCTTTATAGCAGCTAGAGGAATTTTTTTTAATTGTAAAAAATAAGGTATAATTTTATTTTAAACTGAGTCCAAGAAAAGTAGCTTTCAACCTCCAGGTGGCAAGTTTCAGAAGCAACCACCCTCTAATGCAAATAGTTCCCTGGCTCGTCTCCTGTATTCGCCTCCATAATGCAAATCCCTGAGGAGACAGAAAGGTGTAAACACAGCTGTGAGATGCTCCTGCTAGTGGGGAGTGGCAGGAAGGAAAGCGTTAAACGCCGAGGGTAAACGGCACCCGATTTGTTACCTAGTCAGCAGGGCAGAGAGGATCCCACAGGCAAACCCAGCCTCCAAGCTTCTCCCCAGCTCAACTGGTTATTGCTCAGTGGCAGCTCTTACTCATCTGAATCGAGGTGGAGCTCCCTCCCTCCATCCCTCCCTCCCTCCTTGCTGTACCCCTCCTGATTAAAAAGCTTTTCTCAAACATCTGCACGCATGCTCACAGGTACCGGCACTTGCGTTCCAGGAGCTTTGCAGAAGCACCTTCTGCTTCGCATCGTTGAGTCTGTGGCAGAGACAACCACGCACGTCCCACCGGCCTCCCCCTGCCCTGGAAGATGGTGAAGTATGGCCTTGACTACACGCGGTGCAGATGGATCCTACCCCTGCTCCTGGGCATAGGTGTCATCTTCGGTATCATTGCGCTGGCGGGCAGGGGCTGGCTGGAGTCGCAGACCTTGCCCTACGTGCACCAAGCGTCGTTATGGGAGAGCTGCAGGAGGCCTGGGCAGGGTGGGGAATGGATCTGCGAGTCCCTCATGGGTTACGGTAAGCACTTGCAAGGGTGACGGGGAGCAGCCTCTGAAGCAGTGGGTCGCATCTCTGAGCTCATCTTCCCTCAGCTCTCCTAACTCTATCGCCTAATATCTGTCATTTATATATGGAGTTATGGGCAGCAGGGACTGTTAAACACCAAGGCTTTTGACTAACAGGGTGAAGAAGAAAAATGCTCTCAGCCCTCTGCAGAAAGATACCTGGTTGCTTTAGGTGGTGGGTTCCATGGTACAAAAACCCACACATAGTAATGTATCAGTGCAAGAAAATATTACAGCATTTCAGGTTTTCTTCCTTTCTTAGAAGAAGCTAGTAACCTCTTCTCACTACTCACTGCTTTCCAAAACTTAACAGCTACTCTTGATCAAATGTCCAAACAGCAAGTTGCATGGGTAAGCCTGGCATTTGTGTGATAAGCCAGTCCTGAGTGCCAGCAAGAAATGAAGAGGTAAAAATGTAAGATGGTAGGAAGATACTCCCAGGGAGTGTCAAGCTGCAGAATGCTGCCCTGAAACTGCTCTGGTAGGTGGGTCGTGTGAAAGAGTCTCCTTGAGATTATGAAAGAAAGCTTTAAAAGATGAAAGGATTTCTTGTTTGTACTGAGTTTTGCTTAAATATGCTATTAAACATGTTGATACAGATGCAACCTTCAGCTTGAAAACATGTAAACCACTGAGTCTGGGAGAACAGACCAAGAGAAGGATGTGCCCAGTTTCTTTTTTTTTCTTCTTTCTTTTTTTCTGTCTTATGTATCTGCTCTTGGTGACTATCTGAAACAAGTTACTGTAAGTGATGGGCTGTTAGCCTGAGCCAGGAAGAAAGTTCAAACATTCTTGCAATTTATACTAATTCATATTAAAAGCAAGAGCATTTTCTCTAAGGTTCAGAATCTCAGCTGCTCTTGTTGAAAATGAGTGTAAAAACACTTGCAGAAGCAGTCTTAAGGATCATTTATTATAGTTTTCCAAAATTGTTCCTGAAAGTTTATTATCCACAGTCAAGCTCTGCCTTCTATGCACAAAATTCAGGTGCAATAAGTTAATGGTAGCAGGCCTCAGTGAGTGTAGGGCTCCAGGACAAAACAGGCTCCGTTTGGCATCACTCCCAGTCTTACCCTTGGAGCTCCTGCGTCAGCTATGTGGCTGGGCAGGGACCAAGCCAGTTTGCTGCCTCTGGTGCATGACGCTGGAGAAAGGAGAGAGACCATGATGCTTAGAAAAGGGCTTCTCAGTCCTAAGTTGCCAGGAAAAGTGAGCCCTCCTCTTCATCTCCAGGTGAGGCACTACCTGTGTCATGAATGCCAGCTTTAACTGGACAGAAAATGTTTAGAAATTTCACCTTGCTTCTCTTGGTAATACAAGAGAAGTTTCACCTTGCTTCCAGGTCCTACACGGTTGTTTGGCATTTCACTTCCTTCCTCATCCTGCCTCACTCTTACATGCTTAAATTCTGCAGTTGTATGCACAGTTTCCCACTGGACAGCATCTAGAGACAAATGAAGGAGGTCATCCTCTATGTGGACTATCCTGCAATATCTGGGGTTACCGTGAATCACATCCACAATAAGTTGAGTGCTTCAAACATGTTAGAAATGTTGGTCTTAGTACTCACAGGCAGAATAATCTCCAGCACATACATTGGAGAGTCAGTTGATGCTTCTGAAAGCATTAGAAACACCATTCATGTGCTGCATGACTGCATTATGCTCTCAATGGGCACGCATCTATTGTGCAAGCTCTTCAAGCTTGCTAAACACCCAGAAGATCTAAGCACATGCTCAAAATCCTCCTCGTCAAAATTTCCAGATGGAAAAGGAAGATACGTCTGGGACAATGGAGTCATTTGTCCAATGGGAGAATATGCAAAGCCTGTATGTAAAAAATGGTGCATAGGCCAAGTGACTGTGGATTAGGCTGCCAGGCTTCTGCCTCTGCAAGATTATGCCATTACAACATAGATCTCAGCCATTCCAGGGGTGGGTTACCCCTGACCATAAAAGGGCTGTAGATCTGATGCAAACTCATGTCACTGTCCTGATCCTTTCCAGCCCCTTTCTTCAGACACCTTCTCTCCAGAGGTGGGATGTGTTGAGATACAATCCCATCCTCTGGTTTTCCTATCATTCTGTCCTTGTTCAGTGGGTGTAGGGTTGGGATTTTTTTTCTGGGGTTCTTGCCTTTCCTCATGCAGGGTGCAGGTACTTGATGCTGGTCTTGGGTTCCACCCAAAAGACCAGGCCATGAGACAGCATCTCACTTGTGAGCATCCAGGTCTTGTGTTGAGCCTGATTCTACTATAGGGTTTTAGTAATTCTGAGATAACATTTATCCACACTGCTCATAGAAAACAAGCATCATGTTCTGTGGGATGTTTAACTTTGTCTTGTGCCAAGCTAAACACAGTGCTCAATAAACAAAGTGTAATTACATGCCTACCCGAGCACAGAGACAAAAGGTGATGTAAACAGAAAGGAAGGAAGTGTTTTACATCTTTCCTGAGATGAACTCTCTCTCCCTCTTCTCTTCCACAGTTCCTGTCTCCTTTCCTCTGGGCTTTACTCTCAGCTTCCCTGCCTAATCTGCCACAGGCTGGGTAGGTTCTGAAATTCGGTCTTCCTGCAGGGATGGTTTCACAGATATATCTGGTATGCATGCGTATCCCAGCAGCTGCCAGCAAATATTCTCAACATGACTTGGAGAGTGTAGCTATTTTAATCCACTAGAGACATCTTCATCCTATCATAATTAGATATAATTGTAAGGTTCTTGCAAGTTGTTCAATCGAATGTGCAAATTCAAATCTAATTCTCCACCTGCAATGTTTGTAATTCCCCTTGAATCTCTGCTGTTTGGCTTAACATATGCATATACACAGACAGAAGACAAAAAGCCAACATCGTGGAGGTCGGTCAGTTTGAAAGGGGCAAAGGTTCAATGTTTCACTGGTTGCACCAGTGGAGTTTGGGGTCTCTGAATAGTTGCTTAAGCTGACAGAATTCAAAACCTCACAAGATGCCTGTACAATTCTTTTTTGAAAGCCAGGAGAACAACTCCACCAGTGCAGTTATCTTCTGTGAAAGCATCTACGCACTCTAGCTTTTCTGCAAAGTTTATGAACTCTGTGGAAAGTGAGAATATGAGGAGTTTATGCACCTTATTATCTGTTCCAACAGTTCAGATCTTCTGCTTTAACCATATACTACTCACCTCAACTTTATTATAGATCTTTTGCTTTTCAAGATTATTTAGCTGAAATAAATAGACCTTCCTTGGAAAAAATATCTCATGTATTAGGACACTTACTAGAAACGAATGGGCTTTAGGATTGAGAGATGCAAACTGTAGCTCTGCAGTGTTCTGGCACTTGGAACAAATAAAAGTCTCAAGCTTATAACATGCTTGAATGTTTACAAAGACAGAGACAAAGACTTTTTGAGTAGATAACAAGCACAATATGGAATATATGTAGCTGTGAAATGGCTGAGCTTGCAAAGAAAATGTAGAGGTTAAAACCCTTAATGAAGCTAACACAGCAATCATTTGTTTTTCTTGATTTTTGGCTATATAATCTCTCTTGAACAAGGTGTGTCTTCCAGACCTGAAACACTTTTTCAGTGTGTAATTTATTCCACTGCAGGCTTTGAAGATGTTTAAACATGTGTGGGTTTGGTTGGGGGAAAAGAACTGATTTTATTTTATTAGTCCCAATGTGATGCATGATAGGACGAAAAACTCGTGGCTACACTTGTCCCATCTTATGTTCCACTCGGCCCTGCAGCTCTTCCACGTGCAGTTGCTGCCATCAAAATAACTGCAGCCTAAAGCTCTACATTTAGGTTGAAGTGGTTGGCTCATTTCCATGGTGCAAACATAGATCTTGGGGAAAAAATCAGGAAAGGGCATTTCCACATAACAAGTGGAATCCAGAACTTCAGTTATTTTCACATCATAGTATTCAATTACAGCCTTTTCCTAGGATATGTAAAGGGTTTAGTGGCTGTGGAGATTAGTGGATGAATGATTTTGCCATCTGGAAAGGACACCTTCCTGCATCTTCCAGGCAAATAGTGGGTAACTATGTTCTAGCTCATTCCAGTTTTATTTTGATCCGTGAATATTAGTGCAATACTACAAGATGGGATGGCTAGTATAGTATGATTGTAATGAACAAACATTACTTCAAATGGCAGCAGATGAGTATATCTACAGGACAAGTGAAAGAAGGGAATGCTGCAAAAGGTAATATCCTCTTGAAGAAAGAAATACTCTGCTTTAGTCTCATAAGAACCCCACTGATGAGCAGATCTTCCCTGTTTTGCCTATATGAGGCTCTTGGGTCCAGGGAATCTTTTGCATCATTTATTATTCTGGAGGAATATCAAAATGGAAATCACTTGCTAAAAACCCCCAGCTTATGATACAACAGCAAGGTATGTGCTGTGGTCCGGATCAGTCTCTGAGCTGCAAACAACCTCTCTTGGTAGTGCCCCTACCACTGGCTTTGCACTGCTGGCCTCACAGCTCTCCCTCTGGAAAACTAACTTCTCCAGCAGACCAGTGACTCATCATACCCAAGGCACGAGACAGACCAGACACCACGTTTCCCCATTGCCACACTGCCTACGTAAAACTGTTTTGCCTTTCCTCACATTCTCATCACATCTGACAGCCGGCACCTAATCTTGGGCATGGGGACACCCTCGCTTGTCTCTCTGAAGCAAGTGCCCTGAGCAGAGTGACACAGGGATATTTCCAGAGGGACAGGTTGGGAGACAGTCCCTCTCAGCAGGGCCTGGGAGGAGAAGCTGGCTGTCCCGGCAGCTCTTTATCATCCCAAGTTGTTTGCACATGGTAATAGAAATGAAGAAAACAAGTATCTGTGCTTTTGAAGTAGGGACCAGCTCAAGTCATGGGGCCTTTTTTGCAGACTTTCCCTGAAGTCAAGGGTTTGCACTTAAAGGCTTTCAGAATTCATGAAAATTCAAGTAAATTTGG